GGCATCTTCTGCAAACAAGCAGCACGTCCCCCAGGGCCTGCTTCTCCCACCACTGACATGAGCGAACACTACCAGGTTCTTTTTTGGTTGGTTAACTTCAAATAAGCCTCCAAAATAGAAAAACAGCAGCAACCCCCACCAAGTGTGTGCAACACAAGAAATGCTTATTGGACATTCTTATTCTATCAAATTTAGGGGCACTGATTTGGTATTTATTTTTTTACTTTTTGCAATGTAAGAGGTTTCCTTTAAAAAAAAAAAAATCAAGCAAAATCCATGTTTTTTCTGCATACTTTTCAGAAGACAGAGGGGAAAACCTGTGGGCCAGGTATACACTGCATAAAATTTAAACAAGGTGTGGAAATGAAGTTAAATTTTTCACCAAACTACACTGCTCAAGAGACAGACTCTATCATTTCCAACTTGCTTTGAATTAGATCATCTTCCCCATACTCATAGGCTACAGCACAGAGCTATAAAATTCAGAAAATATTTGTACAAATTCTCTTCTGGAGAACAGAGTCACTGAGTTCAGGACAAAATGGTGGGGTGGTATAAGCTAGACAAGTGCATTTTATCTACCTTCTTCTGATGATACACAGAAATATATACAAGGTAGAAGGAGAACTTAGAAGGTACAAACCAAATTTATGCCTTTCAAATATGCATCAGACTGTAGCATTATCCCTTGCTTAACACAACTAAATTGGATATTCTGGCTTTTTAATCATTCTGTAGACTGAACTTATTCAACCACCAAATGCTCTGATTTGTTTTTGCTCTTTTTCTTTACTGGACTACTTGAACTTGCTGATGCTTTTCTAGCAGTGAGGTGCCTGCAGTGGGATAGTATACTTAGAACAGGAATATTAAGCCATGTAGAGGTCTTGCTGGCCATGAGCTTCTTGAACCGACACCAAACAACCCACATTAAAACCAAACTGTAGCTGAGAATAGCTGTCTCCCTGCCTCATTTGCACAGTTTACATATCATCTTGCAGCACTGAACACTGGTTAGAAGATTTCAAAGTTGCAGGATAAGCCTTAGAAAGTGATGCATCCAAATTCTAGCATAAGCAGAATGTGATTTGAAAAATGCCCTCCTGTTCAAAATACTCAACTCACTCTTTCTAAATACGACTTGATGTAGTACTCTACATGTTACACTGAGCATACTTCCACTCTTTCTCATTGCATGCGGGGAGGTCAGGCTAGATGCATTGTAATGAAGCTGGTCCAATTAGTTATTCAGAAGCAGATCCTGACTCTTCCCAGCTTTGACATTATCCTCTCAGACCCAATCTCAATGCTCAAAACAAGATGCGACAGCAGGGCCTATGCAGTAGCAGCAAAGGTCATGTGTTTGCAAGTATAACCCATTACAAATGCTTTAGATACTTAATGCTCTGAGCAGTATAAACCTAAACCCTGCAGCTAGTAGGCTAAGATGGTCATCTGATCTGCCAGCACTACCTGCCTTGTTGATTTGGGTTGCAAATTTTGTCTGGGCCGAGCTGTCAATTGCTGCTTGCCTCAAGCTCCCAAGAGCTTTAATATTTACACTGTTGCAAGTAGAATAGTATAGGTATGCTTTTACCTATGATAATTTTGGTGGTGAATTTGGCAGGTAGGATGCTTGTGTCAGGAAGAGTGCCATCAAGAGGATGCAAAAAGCCTCTTTCTCATATGCTTATCAATACGTTTATTGCTGATCTACAGCATCCTTTCCATTTAGGGAGTAGGCATTTCTCAAGCAGAGACTTCCAGCTAATATTTTATGGTATAGGCAACAGAGGAGCCAAAACAAACTGACAATCTCACTTTCATTTATAACTTTACTTTTCTCATTTCAGTTCAGGTCCTGGAGGTCATCATCATTATTACTACTTGAGTCCACACAGTCCCCAAGCAAAGGCTAACACATGTGTTATTTTAAGAGATGGTCCTGGACAGATGAGCTTACAATCATAAGACATATCAAGTATGGGAGGCAGGAAGAGACACTACTCCCACTTTACACATCAGCAGCTGTGGCAGAAACATGCCAAGTAATTTGTTCCTGGATAAGCAGCTGGGATATTAATGCAGGTGCTTTCACCTGACTACTACCTTTACAAAAAAAGGTATACACTGTGTTCCTAAAACCATGCACTCAGCGCTTCATGGCTAATTTGGAATGTCATCAGTCCACATAACCAGCTTAATCACAACAAATTCTCATGGATTATTATTATTATTAGCTCCTACTCAGAAGAGGGGAAAAAAAAAATGCAGCTAATTGAACGTTATTCTTTGAGTTTTCAAATGATGACTCTCAAGGAGGAAAAAAAAAAATGAAGTGTTTTTCTCTTACAAGATTTCAGTGTCAAGCTGTGTGCTAAGCCACAGTGATATACTAAAATAAACAAAACTATTTCTTTCAGAGTCCAGAGAAATTAACACGACCAAAAATATTTTTGGAAGACTTTTCTGAGCCATGAGTAAGATTTCCATGCAGCCAGTCTTATTCTCTAAGTGTTGGTGGGTCTATTAGGACAACACGACATTGCACTCATATTCCAGGGACAGGCTGTTAGAAGCATTTCACTAGCGATAGCTGCAGCCCGAGGAGTCCCCTTCTGCAGTGGCCTTTGCCTCTTGCATTTGCGTAAAGCCCTACTGGGGCCTGCTTCAGATTCCTATCTGACACTCAGTCAGTAATGTAAGAATGAGCATACAGCAGACTAATTGGAAACACAGAGCAAATGTTACAGGTTAGCCAGCTAGTAGGACTTTTGCCTTTTTTGTTTCTTTTTTTTGGTGTGGTTTCCATCCCCTCCCTCCCCCCCTTTTTTTTTAAGTAACGATTTCCCTCCCCCTATCACTCATTTGCTCCCTGGAGATCACCAATGGTAGCTGCAGGGGTTGGTAGGAGGAGGGTAGAATAAGCCTTCCAGAGGCTGTTAAACAGCTGGAATTATCAGGTAACTTGATGCCCCTGTCTAGGCTTTAATCAGATTGTGCAACTACGCCTTGTAAGGTGAAATGGACTCTGCAACATCAAGCGTTGCAATTTGTGGCTAACTGCATAGAAGTCTACATCAGTAGACTTGTCCTCATCTCCTACTCCTGCAAAATAAACACCATGCAGAAAGAAACACTTAGGAATCCTCTAATTCAGCATGTAGGCATGTACAGCAATGTTCTCCTTGATTCTGGCTAAGACTCCCCTCTGCAGCACATAAGACGCAACGATTTAACAAGTTAAATCTAAAATTAGACACGTTTATCTCATTATGTGGCTATTTCCTAACATTTGTCCTGCACACAAACTATGAGGGCCAGTCTGGGCTATTTTCCCAAGCCTTGATGAAAACTTGGGACTCTCTCACATTAGGACACTCTTTTTCCTTGCTCAGCATATCATGCCAGAGCCTCTCTCTTCTCCGCTATCTGCCCCAGTCTCTTCCCTTATGAGCCACAAATAAACCATCCCTAGACCCCCTTCCCTACAAGCCAAAACCAAACCACTCCCAGACTCCCTTCCCATCTTCTTTCTACAAGCCTCGTCTCCCATGCTGCACCTCAGCAATCAGCTTTACTTCTTTTTTCCAAAAATCCATCTCGGGCCTTTACTTTGCAGACCTCAAGATCCCTAAATGCTGCTACCTCCAGATTTCACAAGCCCCAGCAGCATACATACACCTCGCATGTATGAATTTTGAGTTGGACAGCCATCACCAACAGGCAAAGCAAATGGTACAATATAGCAGCTGTAAGAAAGAGTACCTATAAAGGAAGCCCTTGCAGTTTTAGGCACAGACACTCTGAAAGGCAAAATAATGCTGAGGCAAGTTAAGAAGTGCCTTCTCTTGCTTTAGCACCGTAGCTGCTTTGTGGCCACCTTTTCCTACTTTTAGTCTATGGTCCTGGTTAATGTTCAAATTAGACAAACAGAGATTACCGTGAGAACTAAGCCAAATAACAGTGTTCAATAACTGGGGCACTCCTATGGCAGGGGACACATTACGCAAGAATTTCCAAGAGCTGCAGAAATGGGAAAAGAGAGGCACAAAAGAGAGTGTTGTGAAGGAGAGACATTGGGCAGGTTATTGGAGGGCTGCAGGGAGCAATATGCTCCTGTAGGAAACCCCACATTATTCATGTGTTTTAGTTACCAAAAGCAACCAGAACTTTGGATCTTATTTGAAAAGTTAAAATTTCATGCATTACCTCTTGCTGGCCTCTGTACTGCATTAAGCTCTTTTACAATTCCTTGAACATTTTAACAGCTCTTTAGGATCCCCCAAAACACTCTAACAACCGTTGGGCACAGGAGTACACTCAATCCCATACAAAGTGGCCTATATAACACAATCAAAACTTACAAGTACTGAGACTAAAAGAATACTAATTGGAAATGGGATACATTATCTACTAGGTATTACAAGTTAAAGTTTCCCCCTTCAACATGAATACTTTATGAGAAATACAGAAACATGATGAAGCTGGTAATGATGACAAATTAATCCAGGGGCACGTCGTGTTGCAGAGGAAAGAGGGAAGTGGT